CACCCAGCCACCCACGGCACAGACACGCGCGCGCACCCACCCCACGCACGGCACAGACACGCACACTCACCCAGCCACCCACGGCACAGACACGCGCGCGCACCCACCCCACGCACACGCACCCACCCACCCACGGCACAGACACGCGCGCGCACCCACACCCACACATGCGCACGCACCCACACGACACAGGAGCGCCCAGCTTCTGCGTGAAGCCCCTGCAGGAGGGCCGCTCCGCAGTCGGCTCCTGTCCCACCCGCCGGGGAAGGGTTGAGCCTTCAAGCACCCGCGTCTTCACTCGGGGTTGTGTGTGTGTGTACATAGTACCTATGTATTTACATAGCGGGGAGACTCCCTGAAACTACATTGTGTTTATTTACTTAGTTAAAAAAATTTTATTAATTTATTTGAGATAGAGCACAAGCAGGGGGGAGGAGCCCAAGGAGAGGGAGAAGCAGACTCCCCGCTGAGCAGGAAGACCAACGTGGGGCTCAAACCCAGGACCCCCGGGATAGTGCCCTGAGCCTGAGGCAGATGCTTCTCCAACTGAGCCCCCAGACGCCCCAAAACTACATCGTGTTTAAAGGGTCCCTAAAGTAACAGCGTCTTTCTTTCATTAAGATACAAGTTTTCGGTATGTTTTCAAGACATGGCATCAGGGCTGGCTGCCACAGCCGCGCCTCCAGCCAGACCTCCCTCCACGGCCCCTGCATGTCTAACAGACATCTCAAATCCAAAGAGCCAGACAGACTCCGTTCCTCTCTTACCCTGCCTGCTAGACCCCAAACTCTCCCTCGGTCCCACAGGCAAAGTCTTAGTGTGTCCTGATTTTTCATGGCCACCCCTCTCCCATCTCGCGCGTGAATTGCTCACTGGTCAGCCGATACCCCTTTGAGGGGCACCTGGGGGGCTCCGTCGGTGAAGTGTCTGCCTTCGGCTCAGGTCGTGATCCCGGGGTCCTGGGCCCAAGCCCCACAGCAGGCTCCCGGTTCAGTGGGGGGTCTGCTTCTCCCTCTGCCTCCCCCCACTTGTGCCCATGCTCTCTCTGTCTCGATTAAATAAATAAAATCTTAAAAAAATATCCCCCTTTCAGTCCCCACAGCGCTGTCCACTCAATCCCTATGGGCTGGAAGCCTGAGTAGGGCTAGGCCTCTGTCAACTGAACACTCCCAACAGCTTCTCTGCAGGCCTACAGAACCCCCTTACCACCTGGGGGCCCCACTCCCGCCCTCTGGCAGGCTGCTCTGGAAGCTCGTCCCCATCGTCCCCAGGCCAGGTCCCTGCTCACTGTCCCTCCACGTAACATTGTGTAGGACAGGCTTCTGTCTCGTCCCTCTGTGGGACCCCAGGGCCAGCTGAGGCTGTGTCACAGCGGCGTCTGCATGTGCTGAGTAAATGGACAGATGTGGCACACCTGGTGGGCTGGCCAGGTGCCTGCACACGGACACACCCTCGGGCGCTCTACGCCTGAAAACCACACATGCAGAGGGGTCTAGGCACTGGCCACTGGTCAGCAGGGCCCAGGGGCCCTTGGATAAGAGCTGTGGGGGGCACAGGCCTCCTGCCTTCTGGTGATGCCTCAGAGGCCATCTGAGGGTTTGGGGGGCGGGCCCTACAGCCCCACATCTGCACAGCTCGCCCCCCCGGCCCTGCCCCCCCAAGTCCCCACGTTCCAGGATCGCCCCCCTCCCCAGACTCCACGTACCAGGAACAGCCACAACAGCAGCACCAGCACAAGCAGCAGGGGTTGCGGCTGGGGGCAGCCGGGGGGGCTGCGTCATGACTGGACATCGAGGGGGGCTGGTCTGCCTCCTGCGGCCCTACGTGCTGGTGACATGGAGGCTTCCTCAGCTCCAGGCCAGAGCCTCGGCCCACATACCTTTTCCCCGACTCCCCTGGGTGGGCAATCCCCGCCTCCCAGCCTCCCAACTCTTTGCTCCCCCCACCCCCGTTCCCACAAGGGGGGCAGAGGCAGGGGTGGAGGTGGTGCACCTGCTTCTCAGTCTCATGTGGGGTGGGCATGGGTGGGAGGAGGAGGTCGCCCGGGCTCCGTGGTGCTGGCTCCAGGACCCTCACCACAGCCTGGGAGTCTGAGAAGAGAGGTGGAGGTTCTCACTGAGAACCTGGGACTGTAGCCTCTACTTGTTCCCTGGAAGGGGTCCTGAGAGTCTCTCCTTCCTTCCCAGACCCCTGGGGGCCTGCTCCCCTACCCCCCACTCTGTTCAGGCTCCTACCTCCGCCCCAGCCTACACCAGCGCCGTGAGCCGGGACAGGGTTGGTGAGGAGGGGGCCCCAGACAAGATCTCCACAGGAGGTTCTGGGACACCCCCATTTGCTCCGTCCCTGGGAAGCCGGAAGTCTGGGTTCCTCTTTCTTGGTTTCCGGCTCCTGGCCCCTCCCAAGGGGACTGGGGGCCCCACGGGTCTGGGGCTATCAGGTTAATGCATGAGGGTAGTGGCCAGACATTTGGACCCCCTCCCCAGCTCCCTCCATTTTGGGTTTTCTGCAGTGGGTGGGGGCAGGGGGAGGGTTGCTCCCCACGGGGAGTGCCTGTCTGCAGGTCACTAGGCTTGCAGCATGGAGAGGAGTGGGCCAGGACTTTCCCAGGGTGTGGGAAATGCAGCAGGTCATGGGGGAGGAGGGCCATGAACCCCCTAGCCACGAGCCCATGGCTTCTGTCTTCTAGGTCCTGGGCCCTGCCTCCAGGACTCAACCCCCAGCTGGTACCTTACCACACCCAGGGGCTCCCAGCCTTTCCCCCCACCCCCACCAGGCTGTGGAAACCAATGCGACCTGGGGTGCCAGTGGTGGAGGGGCGTGGGGGGTAGCAAGGGGCTGGGGTGTCCTGCTCCCTGAGTCAGAGATGTGGGATTGCTGGAGGAGGTGAGGGTCAGCATTCTTTTCAGTATCTGTACCCATGTTTCAGGGTGGAGGCATGCAGGGGGCCCTGGGCCCTCGAGTCCCAAGACAGGGTGAGGAGCTTGACCCTCCCACCTCCATCCCCCCATGAGGCCAACCACAGATCCCAAAGTCTCCACCACGGGGAGGGAGTCAGTCAGTGCCCTGGGGGCAGTTTTGAATGCTTTCCCACCACGACCCCTGCCTGCGCCCACCTTGGCCTAAGTGAGGACACACAGGGCCCAGGGGCTTCCCTGCACAGCTGACAAGGACCTTCCTGAGCCACCTGGTCCTGCCCTCACCCCCATCTTGGTGCCTGGAGGCTCATGACTTGCTCTCACTTTATTTTCTCATGTTATTACCATCCTCCCTGCTGTCCCCACCCCTCAGCTTGTGGACTTTCAATCCCCATTTGGGCCATGTTGGCTTCTTGGGGTCTCCCAGGGTAGAAGGGAAGGGAGGAGGAGCTCTAGGACAGGCACCACGGCTGGGCAGGTCTTGGAGCAGACGCCGGGACAGCGTGTACACCGGAGCGCCCCTGCCTCCAGGGCCTGGGCACGCAGAGGCCCTGCCCTGACCCAAAGCTAGGGGTAAAGTGTAGGGTCCCCTGGGGCTGAGGCCCCTGACCAGCTAGCTACCTGACTTCCCCTGAGGTCCTGGGGGAGGGGACCCTCAAACTGGGTCCCAGAGACACTGGGCAAGCAGATGGGGAAGGAGCAGCTGACAGCTTGCCTTTCCCTCAGGGGTCAAGCTTCTAGGGAAAGGAAGGGGTGTGGCAACCTCTGGTCTGGCAGCTGGGCAGAAAACTGCTCTTCCTCCTCTGCACCCCCCACCCACCGTGAGTGGGGGCAGGGCCTGTCCCCTCTCCCCCAAGCACCCCAAGACTCAGCTCTGAATTAGAGGAGGGGCCCTGTCTGGGAGTGCAGATCCAGGGGGGCCCCGGGGCTGGAGGCTGCATTTGGGGTCCGCGTCTTCTGTGCCTCTTGCAGGCCTGGACTGGCTCCCTGCGCCCTCCTCAGGCTGGCTGGGGTTCTCTGGCCGCTCACTCTCTCTTGAGGGGCTACAGGGTCTGAACTGGGGTTTCTGCCCCCCATCCTGGCATTTGGGAGGTGACGCATTCCCCTTTCCCAGCCCCTTGGGGGCTTTGGCCCCCAAGTCTGGGATGGGAGAGGCTGGACAGGCAGCAAGCCTGGCCTCTGGGGACAGAGGTTCCCTTGGGAGCAGCTGCTACTCTGCTCCGCAGAAGGAAAAAGAACGTCCCTGAGCCCGCCCAGTCCAAAAAAAGAAGAAAATGTGACAATCCCAGAAAAAAATGCCATAACCTTTGGGTGGAGGGCTGACAGAGGGGCTCCTTTCTTTGATTCTGATGGTACTCAGTACCCTTGAGGTCTGCTGCCCCCCCATTTGATTGGTGCGGGGAGCCCCAGCCTGACTCCTCCAAGGCAGGCCAGGTCTTTCTAACCCTGGTGACCCTTGCCCCCCACCCTTCTGCAGTGGTGGGGGCAACCTATTTCTCTCTTCCTCCTGCTGCTGGCAAGGTCTGGCCTGGTAGAGCTTGTCTCCTTCTTCAGGGGCCCCTTCCTCTAGCCTCTGACGCCCCCACCCCTGTCTCAAGGAACTCGCCATGGCGCCCCACTCACCATCGACCCAAAGGCGAGGTGGGGGCGGGATGTGCCAGGTTCCCTCTGGGCCCCACCCTGGCTGCCGAAGGGGCGTGCACTGCAGCAGCAGGGACTCGACTCAGACGGCAGGAGGTACTCCTGCGGCGTTCTGGAGGGAGGCCGGCGCCGGGAGCCCCCGATCAGCTGGGGTCGGGGGCGCAGCGCCTCCCCTGCGCCTTGCAGGGTGAGTGGCTGCCAGATCCAAGGGGATGGGGGTGGGGGCGGACAGGGTGTCCCGCCTCGGCCCCTCCCCACCAGGCTGGGGGGAGCGGGAGACGCGGAAACGGGGGTTCTTCCGGCCCCCCCCTTTGAGCAATCACTTCCCCAGGCTCTGAGCTGCAGAAAAAGGGGAACCGGGTTGCAGCACCCCCTCCCCCACGCGCGGGGGACTGGCTCCAGTCCCGCCGCGGCCCAGGGTCCACGTGGACCCCGCGGCTGGAGTCCTTAGGGTGCGGATCCCGGCGCCAGCTCCCGCGGCTCCCGCCCCGTACGGCCCCCGAGCCCGGGGCCGGGAGGGGCAGGGCCGCAGTCCTCGGCGCCACGCGCGCGCGCGCGCGCACTCACCGGCCGCGCTCCCGAGCCGCTCGCGCCGCCGCCGCTGGCCCGCGCGCCCCGAGGTCCGGCTGGATCGTCGGGGAGGGGGCGCAGGGTGCAGTGCGCAGGCGCCTCGGCTGCACTTCCCCAAAGCGCGGGGCCGGGACTTCCTCGCGCGGGGAGGCGCCCGGCCCGCCCTGCCAGGCGCGCCCCGCCCCGCGCTCGGCTGGCCTCATGCCCCATCCGCCCCCTCCCCAGCACCCGGCAGATCCCCACCATCGTCTAGGGTAGCCCGTGGAGATGAGGGGCTAATAACGGGGCCTCTGGACCCAGGACGGCCTGAGCTGGCACTGGAATAGACGGGGGGTGTGGCCGTGTCCCCCACTCTGTTCAGGGGGGCCAGTCCAGCTTTGCCATTCTTGTGGGTGTTCATGAGACTCTGGTCCAGTGCCTGACCCCAAGAGCCCTCAAGCCTCGGGGGTCCCTCCAGGCCCAGCCCTAAGTGTCTCTGCGAGTGTGGACTCGCGCCTGTAAAGTGGGGTTAAGCCTATGCCGGCTGGCTCCGTGCTCGAGGGGGCTTCCCCAGGAAAGGGGGTCTGATGCCGAGGGTATGGGTTCTTACGTCTGGAGTCACCGAATGTTCCTGTCTGTGGGGCAGGCTGAGTCTCTTCCGAAGCCTCCAGTTGTCCCACTATGTCTTAAAGTTTAAAGCCACACCCTCCCTTTTTTGCCACAATGCCCTGTCCCTTCTCTTTGGCTGACCCTCCTGATACTTTATGACCCATTACAGCTGTCAGTTAGCTTTCTTATCCCAGCATGCTTTGGGCCAGTGTCAGTGTGGCGGCGACCCTGCCCTGGAAACATCTGCAGAGGGTCTGTGTCCCCGGCCTTGCACCATGAGCATCTCCTGGCCCTTAGCAGGCCCTCTGCCCGATGGGCTCCTGATGCCTGAGGCCGGCTCACAAAATGCCTTCCAGTTGCACAAGTCGATATGCACGCGTTTCTCAGAACTCTTCAAGGTGACCAGGGAAGTGATTTTATATGTGCTCATTCATTCAGCAATTATCTGGGTGCTCCCCGTCCGGCCGACTGAGGGCCCCAGCAGCGAGCGAGACTAACCCGCCCTGGGGCAGACAAGAAACAGACTGGCAGACTGGGTTAGGGGTCAGGAGGGCTAAGGAGGACCTCGGAGCCGAGGAGGGAGGCATCACTCAGCAAAGGAGAGCGTTGGAGAACGGCCAGGCAGAGGCCTTGGGAGAGGGGAGGCCAAGCTGGAGGAGAGTGTGGGACAAGGTCAGAGAGGTGAGGGGGGCCTGCAGGCTGACGTGCCTCCTGGTGTTGTGAGCCCTGGGGGCCTTGGCCGGCACGACCACAAGACTCTCTGGCTGCCAGGCCAACAGCAAGGCCAGAGCAGAGACTGGAAGTCTGTCCAGCCGGTGGGCGGCTGCTTCTCGTTTAGCCTAGGCCACCATCCTGAGAGACGGGTCCTACAGAGCCAGGCCACAGCTGTGCCCTGACGAACAGCCAGCCTGCTCCCAGAGCCTGCTGTGGTCTCCACCACCTCCCGAGAAATGTGAGGCCAGCTGACCAGGGGGCCAGCTCAGCACACTCCGAGGCCCACTCATGCTGTTCCCTACTCCCCTGTCCTCTCAGCCCTCCATACGCCGCACCTTCTGTGGCCACTCACCCCTGTCCTCTGGCCACTCGGGCCTGCACTCCATTCCCCTCACCCCAGCTATCCTGGTGGTCCTGCGTCTTCTCTGGTGAGTCTGTCTCTGCCCAGAGCATACCCATGTTCCATGGCGGGGAGCCCAGACGGGCTGGGCTGGGAGTTGCTGCAGGTTGTGCAGCAGGTGCGGCGGCCGTGGCATTCAACACCAGGACCCTCTGTCCAGAGCATGAGTGGGATCACAGCCCCAGGAATCCAGCCAACCTGGCACAGTCCCCAGGATGCTGGGCTCTGGCCTGCAGGCTTCGCTCTCCCATAGCAGAAGCCTCTTCTGGGCCCCACAGAAATGCCCTCAGCCACCTGCCCTGGCCTCCTCTGTAGACCTAGGGCCCCCCTCCCTGGTGTGGGGCTCAAAGGGCCTGCCTGCCATGTGTCAGCTCAGTGCCTGGTACAGAGCTGCCCTCGGCCACCCTCTGGGTGGTCTTCTCCGCAGGGCTCTGTGTGGTCGCCCGACGCAGAGGGACCACACCCTTGTGGAGCCCTCACTGTGCTCACTCATGGCCCAGGTAAGACCCTCAAGATCTCGATTTTAAAGATAAAGAAATGGAGACTCAGAGAAGTGATGGAATGAGATCTGCATTTACCAAACAGATAAAACGGTCCTAGGTGGTCAGTACATGCCCAAGAGACAGAGTGCTGGGGTCCTGGAGAGTCAGCGCTGGACGTTATCCTATTCATGACAGAGAGAATGCCTCCCTCTCCCTGGTGACTTGTTTTCAGTGCAGGACCCCTCCTCTGCCCTTGTTCCTCCTTCCCCAGCTCTGCTCAACCACGCCCCTCCCCTCACGACTGCCCCGCACAGCTTTCCCCTTCGTCCTAGACCTGCCGCAGACTCCACACACGGTTCTGGGTGTGGACCGAGGCCAAGGACAGCGACAGCACAGAAAGGGTGAAGGGTCAGGTACAGGGGGAGAAGGGCTTCCTGAGGGCCACTCAGCAGGCCTTCCTGCCCCCCCCCGGGGGGTTGTCTCAATCCTTTCAGCCCCCACTGCTGCGGCCATCTAAGGACTAGGAGGGAAGGAAGGGGAGACATGGCCAAGTTCTAGGCTCAAAAATTGTGTGTCAGCGAGAAGAGTAAGTTCTCTACAGGAAAATCTGTCTACCAAGTTCAGTGTTTGGAGCCTCCGCAGGAGGAGGGTCTGTCAGAACAGGACATGGGTGGTTTCCTTCCCGTGTATGTGCGTCTGTGCGTAAGGGGCACAGGGCAGAGCTGAGGAGGTTGTTCAGGATGAAAAGGTGATTTTCTGTCTGGAGAAGTAGGGGCCTTCCTGAGTTGATCTCCCTTTCCCTAGTCTCCCCCACCATGGTCCCCCTGGAGGACCCCTGGGGCACAGCTGGCTCCAAATGCCACCTTAGGCTTGTGCAGTCCCTCGTCCTGCCCAGAATGTCACCCTCCTCTCTGACCCCTGAAGGAATAACCTACAATGTGGGGTCCCACTTGGGCTCCACTTTCTCCCTGAGCTCGCCCTTCACTGCTGGGGTTGGGACAGTGGTTGGCCCAATTCTTACTCCTGTTCCCTCAGACAGGGGGCTGTCAGAGACCCGCAGGGTACCAGGGTGCCTGATTGGGGCAGCGCGGGATTTGAGAGATTACCAGCGTCCCACGTTGATCTGAACCTGCCCCTCCTTCTACTTTGTTGGACCCGCCCCTCCCCTCCTCCCCCGTCCGCGCCATGTATCTAGATGTCTGTGACATCGGATGCCAGGGAGGCTGCATCCACACTGTCCCCTTCCTTCTCGGGGAACCTGGAGAGAGGCAGCGTAACGACCAGGGGACGCTTGGACAATGAGAACTTTATGTGGGAAGGTGGGGCGCGTTGGCACACTGTGAGGTCCCAGTCAACGTGGGAAGATGCTGCCATCAACTTTCTCCTCCAGGATGGTCTCCACGCGCCTCCTCTGCGGGTGAAAGGGGCTGGCGCCAGGTGTGCGGAGAGGAGGGCGGGGAACTCCCCCTTCCCCTTCCCGGGCCTCTGCGTACCTCTTGACGGTCCAGGGGGTCGGGGATCCGCGTCGGCTTCAGCCGCGGCGGCAGGAACAGCTCCAGCCGGATGGCGGCGCGCGCGGACTTCTGCTGCAGGACGAGGAGCGCGATCTCCTCCGCCTGGGGTCGGGGCGGGGGTCAGGGGTGTTTCTGAGTCTACGCCTCGCTTTGCTTTGCTCCGCCCGCCCCTCCTGCGGGGCGCCCGGGCCGGCCCCTCCCGCCGTTTGATCCCCACCCCACCCCCCAACAACTTTCCTCCGCTGACGAGGCCCGGTCTCCCCGCCCCGCCCGCACCCCAACCTTCCCGCCCGCGCGCCTCTTCCTTCCGGGCCCCGGGCCTCACTCGCATGCGGATGTAGCGCAGCCGCAGGGCCCGGATCCGTCCTCGGGCCTCGGCTGCCTTGAGGACGCCGAGGAGCAGGTCCTGGCGCACCGCGGGCAGCTCGAGGGACTGCGTCCAGGCGCGCAGGTCGGGCATGCGGTACCCCAGCTCCACTGACTCGCGGGGGAAGATGGAGGCGGCCGCGCCCACGTCCTCCAGCAGGTCCCCGAAGAGCATGTGACGACGACGCTGCGGGGGGCGCATGGCCGCCAGCCCTTCCAGCGACAGGGCCCAACCCGGCTTGGGGGGCTCCGCCGCGGGCGGCCCCGTGGCTCGCTCCTCACGGGACCCCTTTCCCGCTCGCTCCCGCGGGCCCCTGCGCCCGGCCTCCTTCCGCGCCTCCAGCCTGGGCCCTGCCAAGGGGAGAGTGAGTCCCACTGGCCACCTGCCAGCCCCTCTGGCCTGGCCCCTCTCGATTCCCCGCAGCTGGCTTGAGGTTCCACACCTCCAGCCTCTGTGCCCCTTTTTTTTTTCTTCTTCTTTAAGATTATTTATTTGAGAGCGCGGGCGCGCGCAAGGGGAGCAAGAGGCAGAGGGAGAGAGACTCTCAAGCAGATTCCCGCGCTGAGCCGGGAGCCCCACGTGCATCCACTCACGACCTCAGCAGAAATCAAGAGTCGGTTGCTGGACCCAAGGTGCCCCAGACTCTGCACCTTTGGGCGAGCCTAGCACACGTCCTATTTATCCTTGCAGTCAGCCAGAAATTTCTGATTCACTTAATTTCAGAAAATTCCCTTTCTGCCCATGGGCTGCTTCTCTGTCCCCTGAGAAAATGCTGAGACCCCTGAGTTGACCTCCACCCCTACACAGGAGTGGAGGCCAATGTTAGACTGGTGTGAGTGAGGCTTGGTGGACCCTTCCCCACAATTCTGGG